AAGCATTTTATTCCAACACCCTGTGCCCCCCCCCCCGGGCAAACAGCTTAGCCCAGGAATCTCAAACTTAAATCGTCATGAGTGTTGCATAAGGGCTAGTTCATTATACTGAAGGCTGCAATGCTGAACCCTTTCTGTACATTGATAGAAAGGTCTCTAGAGTCAAAAATAAAGAGTATCATAGTTTATCATTAAACGCAAAGTTAAATAAAAGAAACATTAGTGCAAAACAGAGTTACCTGAGAAACAGAGCTGTGAAAGAATCATTTTGGCTGCTCAGCTAGCAGTGTTTTTTATTAATCAGAATACCAATATTTAGTTATATTGCTTTGACGACTTGTAATATTTGTTTGAGGTCATATCTAGGATAATGTAATCTAAGAAACCGTCCCAAAGCTGCCCAATTCCTACCATCTTTTTCTTCCCTCTCTGCTGAACAGAGATCGTACTTTTCTTCAATTCAGAGTTGTCAGGTGGGTAGATCAAGGGAAGCAAATGTAAAGGGGGGAAAGGGGAAGGCTTACATCACAACTACACAGTGTGCAGCCCTGACTTTGCCAATCAGTGTCCTGAGTGCTTGCACAATATTGTTTTGTGCCATAGAAAATGACATGGTGGGCCACATGCAGCCCACAGGGCTTGCCAAGCCTGTTCAGACATTAAAAAATGGGTTAAAATTATTAAGGCAAACAGGGCCCTGCCTCTAAGTCAGGCTTGTGAGCTAATCTTCAAAGCATCCAGGTTTTCCATAATAACTTTCTCCATGCAGATATAGACTGCATCAATGCCTATGAAGATTAGCTTACCAGTGCTGCTTCCCTGGTGAATTTTTATTCTTCTGTAACACATACATAGAATTTCTCTCCCTTGCTTTCCTTCATAGTCAGTTACCTTTTCCCTTCACCTCATTTTCATCCACTTTTCTCTCTTTCCTTTCCCAGAACAGCTATCTCTACCCCATACCCTATCTCCAAATCTCCTCCTCGTTTTTACTAATTTTGTTGGTGGTGCCAACATTCAAAACTATGGTGTGCCCTGCATTTTTCTTCTGCTAGTGCTCAGACATATGCAAGCTGTTTAAATTGTCAGAAACATAAAGTGGGCAAACACCAATAGCTCAGAGGTTTCTATCATCAACCACCATGGAATATTTTGTAAATACAAGTTGACTTTGCCCAGATGCCATGCTGTAACCATTGTAAGTATGTCCTAGCTCTGCTGGACATGTTTTCTAAATGGATTAAAACATATTTAACAGGAAAGTTCATGTTACTACTATAGTAAAAAACCTACTGAAAGATTTGCTTTGTGTCTTTGGTATACTGTTGTTTATGTCCCACTGAGTCATGAGACTTATGCCTCCCTTCTCACAAGAATAAAAAAACTGCTTGTGCTTTCCCATGTTTGTTTGATTCTACAGGTAATCCTCACTTAACAACCACAACAGGGATTGGAAAATTGGTCATTAAGCAGGGCAGTTAAGTGAGCCACCATGTGACCAGACCCAATTCTACAACCATTTTATGATGGCTGTTAAGCAAATCACTGCGGTTGTTAAGCAAATCACATGGTAGTTAAGCAAATCATGTGGTCGTTAAGTGAATCCAGCTCCCCCAATGGATGTTTTTGCCAGAATTCACTTAATGACCATGTGATTCACTTAACAATCATCATAAAAAGTTCACAAAATCATGAACACGTGACTGCAGGGGGTGATGCAACAGTTTGCGGCAGTTGTTAAGTGCGAGTACAGGATGTAAAGCACTTTTTCCAAGACCGTCATAACTTCAAACCACCATTAAACAAACGATAATTAAGCAAGGACTACTTGTAGTTCCTTTGACAAAAGAAGGGAGGGGAATGTGAATATATGTATCACTGTTTTCAGCATATATGCACATGATGTATGTGCATATATGCTGGTAAGATAATGAATTTTATAAACTACCTTATTTTGTAGGCAATTAATTTTAATTTATAGTTATTAATTTTTTTGTCCCAGAACTTCCTTTTTGGTTTTGGTTGGCACATACATATATGCATACATGAAGGAGAAAATGGCTGTGGATCACTTACCCTAAATGCAATATAGGTCTGACCTGATGATCACTTAAAGCTGCAATTTTAGGAGTGCTAAAAGTAGTTAGATGACACATGGAACTGTAGCAAGAATAGGAAAATGGAATCTTCGAAAATGTTGGAGCACGCTGAATTAACAATCTTCAATGCTAAGAATAAAAACTTGAACACAAGTTGCTAAGGGCTGGCTCAGGGTTGCTAGGAACAGACTTAATGTGGAGGATATAAACAAGATTGCTATATAAACTTGTCCTCCTAAGAAGGGTGGGCAGAACTTTGTATTCTTTCCTTGCAGAATATTAAAATAAAGCTTGGCTCAAAGCTAAGGGTATGTCTCCACTGACTAGAAAAGTTGCGGGAGGAGTTCCCCTACATTTGGTGTCAGTAGTGGGATGAGCGGAACACTGGAGTGAGCACTCCACCACAGCAATAAATATTTTCCGCACACTTCTCCTTGAAGGGAGGTTTCTGTCTCCCCAACCCTTATGTGTCTCTGGTTTAGAGGAACACCTCCACATCACTTCCCTACTGTGTCTCAGGATTGTTCAGCATTAGGGTTGGAGCCAGTTCTAGCAGTATAGATGATAAAAACCTCAGGTGAGATGAGCTCAGGATTTGGGGCAGGAATCAAGGAGCCCCACTGTGTGAGGGAATGATTGCCCCTTTGCTTCCCTATGGTTGACCAAGGCTGTGTGTCATGTCTTCTCTAGCTGCCCCTGCCCACAAGTAAGTGAAAGCCTCTGGCCTTGCAGTATCAGAACACAAGAGGGGAATAGCAGCAGGCATGACCCAACTGGCTGCAAGAATGCATGAGCATGTATAAGTGGGATTGAGGAAATGGGATGTCCACTTTCTAAATGCCCCTTTGGTGACATACCAGCAGCTGTTATGTGCTGCTTGCATGGCCGTAGAACTATTACTTGGCCTGTTGAGTCATATACAGTGCTAATGACAGAAGGCTGCAGTTCTTTTGAGTGGGTCATTCGACCTCAGAATTCTGCACCAACTCTGTTGTTTTTATCTTAAGGATCATTATAAAATGTGGGTCTGGTATCTTTGGGAAGAGCAGGCAAAGAGGGTATAGGGAGAAGACTAATTCACCTCCATCCTTGCCTTGTTAGAAAAACCAGAGTCAGATAAACAGATGTTGACAGCTCCACCACCCTCCCAAGCCCCTGGGACTGATAGTTGCCAAGGAAGTAACCCAGATTGTGGCACCCAAGGTCACTTTTCACAGTCTTAGCTTTGAGCCAAGCTATATTATAATATTGCACAGGGTGAGAATAGTACTGTTGGGCAGATTAGCTAAAGCTGCATTTATGTAATATTGAAGTTCCATACAAGTTCCTACTCCATTTTAATTTCCATTTTGAAATTTATGCTGTGACAGTCAGGAGCATGTTACAGCTGTTTTCATTAACATGAGACTGTCACAAAGCAAAATGAGTTGAAAGAAAGGCAAGAGCTCTTAAAAAGGTTGCCCTCCAGATAAAAACTGCTACAACTGGAAATGCAAATTTAAAAAAATAGAAAAGTGGGTCCAACCCAAAGCATCATCCACTTTTTCCACAGGACAGTTCCTCCTACCGTAGCTTGATTATTAGCAGTGTCAGCAGGGAGGGTCAAGATGTCGGTCACAACTCCACAATCAAAGCCCTGCTCCTGTATACATGTGTGCAACACTCAAGCACATACAAAAGGGGTGGAGCTTCACTTGCATAGTCATGATGGCCATTTTCTTTGACACTCCCAAGGATGCTTCTTCTTGACATGTATTTTCCTATCCACACTTGTAAAATAATTATACTGCATTAAGCTCTTTTTTTTATCATAAATGGATTCTCTGAAGTAAGAAAAAGAGATGGGAGAAGCTATGGGAAAATGTGGGTGTTTAACAATTTAATGACAATGTCACTTGATCCTCTATGAAGCTCTGTGAATGAGGCAGGCAGCTGAACTGTAAAAGCTTCACCTGGAAGT